CCGCTCAAAATGAAGCAATTTGTATTAAGCAACATTCAGAATGCTCCGAAACGAGTATCTGATATTGTTGAGAGAACCGAGCTAGATTGCATTTCTTATTCTCCTCTAAAGTTTAGATCACCATGGAATATTTTACTTGGACATATTGTTCACGACAATGTTTGTGTAGTTGGCGACGCCTTTCATCCCATGACACCGGATATTGGTCAAGGTGGGTGTTCGGCTTTAGAAGATAGCGTAGTTCTTGCAAGATGCCTTGCTGAAACTTTATTGACAAAGACGTCTGGGAACAATAAAGAAGATGGGGAATATGTGAAAATGGAAGGGGGGCTGCAAAAGTATGCAAAAGAGAGGAGATGGAGAAGTTTTAGTCTCATAAGCACGGCCTACATTGTTGGAATGATACAAGAGAGCAATGGCAAGGTGATTAGTTTCTTGAGGAAATCCTTTTTGTCTAAATATACTGTTGGGATTTTGATGAGAATGGCTGATTTTGATTGTGGAAAGCTAAAGATTTCTTAAAATAGCTTTATTTTATATTACACGTTATCGTAATATTAAGCAAAGCACGTATGCCTCGCCCACTAGTTTATAGAGCCCGGAGTTGATACAGTTCGCTTGTTTTCTCTTTCATTCAATAGATAGAAGCCCGTAATGGAAACTCTATTGTTCTTTATTGTTGTGGAATCTCTATATTGCACTTTATTGTTGAGAAAATTGTACAGCTAAAGTGTGTTTTAACTTGGTTATATGCAATTTTCGAGTTAAATATCCTAGTTATTTAGGGCAATACAGCCTCAACAAATTTGTATATCACTCTGCTGATGAGAGCAATTACGAACATATATGCCCGTAAAGCTTTTGGAAATTGAAAAGCTATTTTGGAAACTAAAAAATTGTTTTTGAAGATTTTTGGATAATTTTTAAAAGTACTTTATCTGACTAAATGAGTTTTTAAAGAAAGCTAATCTAAGAAAGTTTCTATGAGAAACTCTTATTCAAAAAGTAGAAATAAAAGTAGAAATCTTGTCAAATCGGCCCAATCGGCCCTCAATGTGCGTTAAACTATGAGAATGGTGAAAACTTTTTTGTAATAAAGAGGAATAAAGTGGAGAATACTTCTAATGCATTTCAACCAACTGGTTCTTTTGTATTCCTATGATTGGCATCTATTTTCTGTAAAATGGATTAGGTAGCAGTTACTGGTTACCTATGGTTATTCTTGTATTCAATACCAAATAAAAATTGTAAATTAGGTAACTAAATTAAAACAAATGGAAGCAGAGTGACCAACGCGAAACAAAGTTGCAAACTTGATGACATTCGAAGAATTTTTCCGGATAGATAATGTCAAGGGCATGTGCATTACAAATAAGAATAGTGGGTTTGTCTCATATAAGGTCAAAGAAATGCACATGTAAAGATGCATCAAATTGATTTTTGCTAAATATTCTATAATTCCAAGATTTGATTATCTTCTGTTTTCCTTCATAAAATAACAAGAAATCCCTTAAAAGAATGTGAGAAATTAATGAGTTGGGGTTGGGTTTTGATCCATTCAAGGCTCTTCTGTTGGGAAATCCATGTGTGGTTTCAAGAAATGGACAGAAGAACATGGGAATAATTGAATGAGATTCAGAATTCTTCAGACTTCATAAAGATATTCATTAAAAAAATGATGTATTATTATTATTATTTATTTATTTTTTTAAATCCTAGTTGCAGTTTCACATGAAAGGCTGTTACATTGCATAAAATAAATTCTTTTCTTTTTTTTAATCATTTACAAGTACATCGGGTATACTCCAGCTTATAAAATTCCTACGAAATTATAAGATGTAACAATGACACAATCTAACGACCCAAAGCTAGGGACTCAAAATAAATCAAAACATTAGAATACAATGTAAACATAGCTTTGTAAACCTGTGTTTTGAAATCTGTCTTACAATACTATCGGAGCGTGGCTAAGATCTTTAAATATCTATCTATTTCTTGTAATCCAAATGTTGTAGACGGTGCTAGCTAGTGCAATTCTATTGGCTTTACTTTGCCAAAAAGTCCCGCAAGCCTCCTTTTTAATTTCCTTTAATGAGCTTGCTAACGTGGACATTGAGCGTATAAATAATCCACTTTAATGAGCTTGCTAGCAGAAAATAAATTCTTTTATCTCTATAAGTTTGTGTTTTGCAGAGCCATTAACTGAAATAAACTCACTAATCTTTCTTCTCATTCCTCTCTTGCATTTCGCATAGAGAAAAATGTCTAAAAATGTCATTTTACCAATCTATCTTATAATTGGAGTCTCTTGTTTTCTCATGATCAAGATCAGTGCCTTTACAGCTTCTGGTTGGACTCAAGCTCACGCAACCTTCTATGGAGGCAGTGATGCTTCCGGGACAATGGGTACGAGACGAAAACACATTTTTTTTCGTGCTAGATCTACTGGAAGATCGTTAATTAATGAAGAACCCGTGTTTTTGTTTAATTGTTTTGTAACAGGTGGTGCTTGTGGATATGGGAACTTGTATTCAACTGGTTATGGGACTAGAACTGCAGCATTGAGCACTGCATTGTTCAATGATGGAGCATCATGTGGGCAATGTTACAAGATTATGTGTGATTACAAAGCCGATCCTAAATGGTGCATCAAAGGAACTTCTGTTACTGTTACTGCTACAAACTTTTGCCCTCCAAACTATGCTCTTCCTAGTGACAATGGAGGCTGGTGCAACCCACCTCACCAGCATTTCGACATGGCTCAACCCGCTTGGGAAAAAATTGGAATTTATAGAGGTGGAATCGTGCCCATCATCTATCAAAGGTTGTGACTCGTTACTTTTCTCTTAATATATGTTACTAACTCCTTATAATAAGCTCGTACTAATATCTCGTGTATCACGACCTGAAGATTCATGTTTTTTACGTGATGTAGGGTTCCGTGCAAGAAACACGGTGGAGTTAGGTTCACAATCAGTGGAAGGGACTACTTTGAGCTTGTAATTATAACCAATGTGGGAAATGCTGGATCTATTCAATCAGTGCAAATCAAGGGCTCAAGAACAGACTGGATGGCTATGTCTAGGAATTGGGGGGCTAATTGGCAATCCAATTCTTACCTCAATGGTCAATCTATATCCTTCAAGGTCACGACCACTGATGGTCAAACAAGAACTTTCCTAAACATTGTCCCATCAAATTGGGGCTTTGGCCAAACATTTTCAAGCTCTGTCCAATTCTAAGTTGATAATGGGCCATCCAGTTTTAGGTTATGGGCTTTCATGCTTTACAGGCTGCGGCGTGCTTATCCTTTTACTGAAAGCAGCCCGCCAATGTTTATGGGCTATAGAGTATTGTATTTGACATTCGTGCCTGAATTTAAGCCCACCAGAAAATTGGTTAACACTCTGTATTTAGCTTAGAAGCAAATTTCGTCTGCAGCTTCAGTAATTTATTTCGAGTTTTTTTATTTCATTTTCTTGAATAATGAGTAGCATATTTCGACATTCCTGCCTGAATTTAAGCCCACCAGAAAATTGGTTAACACTCTGTATTTAGCCATTGTTTTCAACTCTACTGAAAGATAAATATTTTTTCAAACTTAGAAGCAAATTTCGTCTGCAGCTTCAGTAATTTATTTCGAGTTTTTTTATTTCATTTTCTTGAATAATGAGTAGCATATTTCACGGTTCACATACAGAATTTTCATTGTGATTAGTATTAAAGCAAGATTTGTTAATGCAAAATATTCAAATCCTAAAAATGGAGCTAATGAACCTGCCAAATGCCATGTGGGGTCCATATGGATTGGGGTCGGATCTAAAGCGGAGTCGAATATGTATTAGGCTAATACTTGATGTGTTGTTATGAGTCAGTCCACGAGGACCGATGACTTCTCTATTTAGCCTTGCTTTTTTAACAACCACGAGTTGATCTCTTAAATTAGATATTTAGATTGGTATAGTTAAGGTCTTTACTATTTTCACGCATGATATAAAGGATAAAAACCTCATTAGTAGGTGAATTGGAATGCAGGCGGAGGAGTGTAACTGGGTTCGATTGTTATTTCGCGCGGATAGTCGCTAACAATTAAAAAGGGATCAGACGATTGTGTAAGGAACAAACATCTTGAGACAAAATCTCAAAAAGGGGTGTTTTATTGGCAATGACTTTATAATTGCAACTAAACAGAATGCCTTCAAGGGGCGCAAGCACACGAGTACTGAAAAGAAATGTTTAAGTCTAAACTAAGAAATTGAAATTACATATTCTCTGTTTGAGAGTGTTTGATTCGGTTTCTTTGCTCTATGTCTTCTCTTCTTTTTATATTCCCTTGATGATTTCTTTGTGATCAACCGCTTAGAAACTGCTTGATTGCTTTATAACTAACTTTCTTTTTGGTGGCTAACTTGTCGTGGAACTGCCGTCTCTAACTGCTACCGAGTCTCTTTGTCGTTCAACCGTCTTCAACTGAACTCCTTGAATCGTGGAACGTGATAAGGTTACTCAATAACTGTTTTAATAACTGCACTTCTGGATAACCATAACATCTTATATTTGCTAAGATCTTGGGCGATTCAAAGGTTTGGGCGAGAACAAGGTCATAACTCTGGGCGACTGTAAGGCACTTCATTCGCTCAGATCTTGGGTTTCTTGCAAGCTTGGGTGATGATGTTACCATGTTCATGGGCTTCGACTGCATTCATTAATAATCCTATCTGGGCTTTTATCTTGAATTGCCCAGTTGGGCTTCATTTTTTGGGCTATTTGATTTGAAAATTCCCCAATTGGGCTTCATTCCTTGGGCTATTCAATTTGGACTGCACTTTTAGTATGTCAACAATTGTATTGAACCATTATAGCTTCACTCATTTATACTTTTATTTTCTTTGCTCTATGTCTTCTCTTCTTTTTATATTCCCTTGATGATTTCTTTGTGATCAACCGCTTAGAAACTGCTTGATTGCTTTATAACTACTCACTTTCTTTTTGGTGGCTAACTTGTCGTGGAACTGCCGTCTCTAACTGCTACCGAGTCTCTTTGTTGTTCAACCGTCTTCAACTGAACTCCTTGAATCGTGGAACGTGATAAGGTTACTCAATAACTGTTTTAATAACTGCACTTCTAGATAACCATAACATCTAATATTTGCTAAGATCTTGGGCGATTCAAAGGTTTGGGCGAGAACAAGGTCATAGCTCTGGGCGACTGTAAGGCACTTCATTCGCTCAGATCTTGGGCTTCTTGCAAGCTTGGGTGATGATGTTACCGTGTTCATGGGCTTCGACGGCATTCATTAATAACCCTATCTGGGCTTTTATCTTGAATTGCTCAGTTGGGCTTCATTTTTTGGACTATTTGATTTGGGAATTCCCCAATTAGGCTTCATTACTTGGGCTATTCAATTTGGACTGCACTTTTAGTATGTCAACAATTGTATTGAACCATTATAGCTTCACTCATTTATACTTTTACTTGAGTCGATTATACTTGGGCTCATATAATTTGTTTATTTACGATCACAAATTTGTGTGTTTTCAATGCTTTTAGTTTTATATTATACTGATATTCTATGACATATTAATATGATTATTTCATTTATTTTCACCATCATTGCTTTGATGTAGAGAAAATAACGTATTATACATTCATCTACTCGTAAAATTAAAATGTCAATATCTGAAAAAGAAAATGCAGCTAAAATCTGTGATTCATTGATTGGTAGAAACAATGTATTATGTATCAACAACTATTTTATATACATTTGGAATGACAACATGCATGGTTGTTGGCCAGTTTTCACTTAATCTTTCTCCGGGATACCACAGACAATTCCTCAAGGGAGCTCAGAGTTTTCTTAAGATAATATTTGTCTCTACAAAGTAAAAACAAGTTTGCATTGATTGTACAAAGTACAAACAAGTTTAATCATACATTTTAATCGAGTCATAAGTACTATTTATATATTCACGGCTTACTTATATCTAATTATAAATTAAATCGTATGTAATTCTTTTGAATTGTAGATTAGGATGTGTAGATTGAAGAGGAGATGCTATTGTGAGACAGTCAAAATTAAAATAAATTAAATTAATTTGAATTTATTTACCCCCCCCCCAATTTCTAGTATTATTTGTGTCCACTTGAAAATGCCGAAGATCAACAAGATTAAATGAATATTATTGAAGTTCTCTATGTTAAACTTTTAGATTTGATGATTTACTTAACCCTTGTTTGATTCTCATTCTTGTCAAAAAACACATTTTTGAATAGGGTATTAGGTGAAAAATATATGGTTTAAATAAAAAAAAAAAGTCATAAATTTGCGTATAATATTATTTTATTGAAAAATGTGTATTTGAAGTAGAATCAAATAACTGTTGAAAAATATATTTTGATAGAAAAAATGAGGCTCAAACAAGAACTTAATATTAGAGCTAGCGAAAGATTGAAATTCAAGTTTCGCCGTCATCTATTTATGAAATTTATACACGTATCAAACTCTTGATCGAAAATTAATCTGATATGCATGCATGTGGGGAGATTTGTTGAGACAATATTTAATGCATATACAGAATCCACCCTTTAATATATAATTTAAATTTTCCTGTAAATGTGCAAAAGAATGAATTAGTAATGAAATATGCATAGTATTATTTGGCCGTAGAACTGTAAAGCATACAATTATATCAATTAAAGTTGCTAAATACCAACTTAATCATTTTGTTTTCCAGTTATGTGGATTCTTACTAGATTACTTTATTAGCCAAAATGGTATATAATTAGTTCATGGCTTCATGCTTAAGCAAAATGACTAGCTAATAAATTTATGGCTTTATTTCTCCAAATAAAGAATATTCTCTAACAACTCCAGCGAACGATCTAATGGTTCTAGCTCACCAAACAAGCTAACAAACCCTATCCATGCACTTTGACAATTCGTACATACCCCGGGAGTGGGGTGGGGTGGGGTGGGGTGGGTTGAGGGGAGTTTCCTACAAATACCATTCAGACATCATTATCTCCTACAGTAACTGATCAGGACAGAATATATTTGAGTAGCTTATACTATGGCAGCCACTTATCTTACTCTAGTGACCTTTTTCCTATTTTCTTTGATATTGGGTTATTCGAATGCATTAAGTGTAGATTACTACCACCAAACATGCCCTATGGTTGAGTCGACGATACAAGAAGCTGTAAAGAAAGCTATGATGAATGACAACACAGTTCCAGCCGCTCTACTTCGGATGCACTTCCATGACTGCTTCGTTAGAGTATACATTTTCCATTATGATTTTTACTAGTGTATTTTTTAATCTTCAAACTAATTTTCATGGTGTTTATTTATATATATTTCAAGGGCTGTGATGCTTCTGTGCTGCTGAACACCAAGGGGAAGAACAAAGCTGAAAAAGATGGCCCTCCTAACATTTCCTTGCATGCTTTTTATGTTATTGACAATACTAAAATGGAAGTAGAGGCACAATGTCCTGGAGTAGTCTCTTGTGCTGATATATTGGCTCTAGCTGCTAGAGATGCAGTTTCTCTTGTAAGTTCGATTTCCACTCGTCAACTCATCTAAAAGTTTAAGCCCGATTCTCAGAACACCATTTTTTTATTAGACAACACTAAAAGAGGAGGGGGAGGGGGGAAGGGGGGGTGGAAGCAACATAAGTAACAACATTTGTTACTTTCCAAACATGTCTTTGGATAGAATAAGATGATCATAGATTCAGTTGCAGTTGTGGTAACTACTTCTATTGAGAATGTTTTGGAGAAACTCCCATACTAATAAGTGCACTAAAATCCATTTTTAGACAGGAGGTCCTACTTGGGAAGTACCGAAAGGGAGAAAAGATGGAAGAATTTCGAAAGCTACCGAAACCAGACAACTACCTGCACCAACATTCAATATATCTCAATTGCAGCAAAGCTTCTCCCAGAGAGGCCTTTCTATGGATGATTTAGTGGCACTCTCAGGTAACTGTAAAGTCTTTCTCAAACTAATTTTCTCCCTTCAGCATGGAATATTCGACCGATCCTCGTGGCACCAAATCATGAACCTCACGTTACATGTCGGAGAAGTCATGATGGTTCGTTGCCCATGGAAACAATTTATTATTATTATTATTATTATTATTATTATTATTATTATTATTATTATTATTATTATATTTTTTAAAAAAACTATGCACTTTAAGTACTATTTCTCGAGAAACCAATCTGAATATCCATTAATCCAACTGGTGGAGGATTACAAGTGGCTTTAGCCAAATGATCTTCTTGAGATTGCATTCAAACAATTTGTGCTTATAAGTTGATGGTACTAACTGTGATTTTTACGAAATGTGTAATTAAAATTAAAGATTGGCTTTGACTTTATACTGAGAACGAGTTTATAATTAAAAACAAATGGAAAGTACTCTATTTGGTTTGATTTAAAATCAAAATTTTAATATATCTTGATAAAAGTTGATGGCGATGTGTGGTTAAAAAGTTATGTCTCATAAAATTTGGGGTTTCAAATGGTTTTGGAGAAAAATAAATTTTAAATAATTGGGGACAAACGGCGGCAATTTTGTTTGCGTAGTAGACATCGAAAATTGTACCTCAGACTCGAGCTATAACTTTTCTAATTTCCGACCCAAGGTACTTCATGTCCATTTGCTCATGGTAGAGTTTGAGGGAAATAAATTACTTTTTCCTTTTACTCACAAAGTTAGTCATAAAATGATTTTCTCCACAATAATATCTACTTTGACATGTACATGCAGGAGGTCACACCCTAGGTTTCTCTCATTGTTCATCCTTCCAGAACAGAATTCACAACTTCAACACCACAACAGACATTGATCCATCCATTCATCCATCTTTTGCAGCAAGTTTAAGGCAAATTTGTCCCACGCATAACAAGGTGAAAAATGCTGGATTCAGATTAGATTCTTCTCCAACTACATTTGACAACACCTATTACAAGTTACTTCTCCAGGGAAAAAGTCTTTTCTCCTAAGACCAAGCTTTGCTTACTACTACAAGAACCAAATCATTGGTCGCAAAATTCGCCCGTTTGCAAGAAGAATTTGAAAAAGCATTTGTTAAATCCATGATCAAGATGAGCAGCATAAATGGTGGAACTGAGATTAGGAAAGATTGCAGATTTGTTCGGTAAAAGGTGTTAAATTAATTGAAAGGCGCAGAATGATTGTATTTGTGTGTTTGGTATAAGATTTTTTGAGGAACAAAAGCAATTAAGAAAAAGTAATGCTTTTGTGTTGTTTGAGGAATATGGAGATGTTCAGAAGAATAATGTAATTCTAAATTCAATTTAATTGTGACATTTATGCTTAATTTGTTTGATTGTCTTTGGACATTTCTATTTTTTATTGTAAACTGGTAAATTTACATAAACAGTTTGGCCTCATATGGCATTATTTCCTAAACTTTAATTGTAACACTGCTATAATTTGTTTTTGTTGTTTTTAATGTTGAAATATTTCGATTGGGGTTGAGAGTTTGTCAACTTCATCCAAAAACATATTTCACAGAGATCTCGAAATTTATTTGATTGAGTCAGAATTCTCACCTCTGAGTCCAAAATTTTTTTAGGGCCTATTTGATTTGACCGATTTTCTATGGATTTTCCACATTTTGACATGTTTGATGGCAATAATTTTCTTGGCAATTTCCTTTCCTCCCTCGTGCAATTTCCATGGTTACGTAGAAAACCAATTCCCACCAAGTCCAGGGGAACTGGTTTTTTTGCCGGATTTATTTTTTATTATTTTTTTTTGGCAATTGGAACAAATTTTATCCCCAGTTGTAACAAATTTTGTCTATTTAATTGACAATTTTCATTAAAAACTAAGTCAAACGAACACCAAAAAATTAAAAATTTTGACATTTTTCAGGTCAAAAAAAATTATACCAATCAAACACATTAATTGACAATTCCCAGAGAAACTGACAATTAAATTCCCTGAATTTTTTTTCTTTCTACCCAAATTTTATTCTTGTAATCAAATGAACCCTAGTTGTTTTCTTGATATTCTTTGAAAACGCCATAAAATAAAAATATTATTTCAGTAATAGGTTAGAATTTCCAATCAGGGTTTGAACAGTAAAAAAGTAATTTTTTTTTTTTTAAATCTGGGTAGTGAAAAATAAAATTCTAAATGCATTCCAGCCAACTTTATTATGAACACTTGCAAATATTTTCTAGCTCCCACTCCTTCTCCTCTTCCCTCATCGTCGTTGGTCTTTTGTTCGTAGTGTGAGAAAACTCCTCTGCCCTTAGATGAGAAAGTCCTTTTTTACATACACAACGAGGACCCTAGTTGTTTTCTTGATATTCTTTGAAAACGCCATAAAATAAAAATATTATTTCAGTAATAGGTTAGAATTTCCAATCAGGGTTTGAACAGTAAAAAAGTAATTTTTTTTTTTTTTAAATCTGGGCAGTGAAAAATAAAATTCTAAATGCATTCCAGCCAACTTTATTATGAACACTTGCAAATATTTTCTAGCTCCCACTCCTTCTCCTCTTCCTTCATCGTCGTTGGTCTTTTGTTCGTAGTGTGAGAAAACTCCTCTGCCCTTAGATGAGAAAGTCCTTTTTTACATACACAACGAGGATTCCAAGGAATGGTTTATAGCTGTCTCAATATCTACGAAATTTTTCCATTTGATTTCTTTAGTACCGAATGTTTTGAAGTAAAATTAATTGATAGTGTGCACACGTTATGTAGCCTATTATTTTTAATTCTATTAGATTCAATTTACTTACAATCGTTATATAGCCCATTTTGATGCTATTCGGGTTCAGAGATGATCCAAATCCAATCTATCCCAGGCCAAGTCCCAACTTAAGTAGACCACTTATTTGGGCCAATTTTAAGACCTGAATAGAACTATGGGTTATCGGCAAACCTTTTATTTTGGGAAACCTTATTTCAGGGTGTGTTTTTCGGCAAAAACAAGGTGACGTTATGTAGCCTATTATTTTTAATTCTATTAGATTCAATTTACTTACAATCGTTATATAGCCCATTTTGATGCTATTCGGGTTCAGAGATGATCCAAATCCAATCTATCCCGGGCCAAGTCCCAACTTAAGTAGACCACTTATTTGGGCCAATTTTAAAACCTGAATAGAACTATGGGTTATCGGCAAACCTTTTATTTTGGGAAACCTTATTTCAGGGTGTGTTTTTCGGCAAAAACAAGGTCAGTGGAGCAAATTCAATTTCAATGACAGAGCAAAACACCACCAAGACCCACAAAAATCTTGAAATCCCAGATCAAGAAACTCTTCACCCTGGTACTGAAAAAAATCCCATGATTGAAAATAAACAAGTAGTAGAAGAAGAAGAATTAAAGAGACTTTTGGTGCCCAATGTAGAAGATTTGCCCCCCTCTCCTCCCTCTGCTGTAGAGTCCAACTTTACGACCTACTTTCTTCCAGGTTCACAAATTCATATAGATTTCTGCATCTTTAAGCAAAAAATTTAAAATTTCTTTTTTTTTCAAACCTATGTATGAACTCTGATATTTTAGTTGCTTTGGTTTTTCAAAATTTCCAGATTTTTTCTATCCTGGAAATGATCAGTATGTTCACCGTCATGCCAACGGGTATTATAAGTCTTTTTCTAAATTAAAGCTTGTTGCCGTTATGATTAAACATTTTTAGTCCAGTTTTGTGTTTAATAATTGTGGAAATTAATATTTTTACAACTAATGACAAACCTATGTATGAACTCTGATATTTTAGTTGCTTTGGTTTTTCAAAATTTCCAGATTTTTTCTATCCTGGAAATGATCAGTATGTTCACCGTCATGCCAACGGGTATTATAAGTCTTTTCTAAATTAAAGCTTGTTGCCGTTATGATTAAACATTTTTAGTCCAGTTTTGTGTTTAATAATTGTGGAAATTAATATTTTTACAACTAATGATTGTTGTTCTTGCTGTTGACTAAAGGTTGTGCGTAATCGGTTTGGCTCCATATCATGTGGCATTTAAGGATGAATTGGGAATATCGAACGTCAGTTTCGATGTAGGGAGGACTGATAGGAGTACAATTAAAGTCACTGGAAAACGAAAAAAGGTGATGTGTTTTCTAAAATTTGTAGAGTAATGCTAACTTTAATTGGACTTATCCAGCCTGGTGTTCTAGCATAAGTGGTGCTAGATAGCATTATTCAAAAATGTAAATTGAGAGTAAAGATAGCTCACTTTAACTGTGGTTAAATTTTATGTTTTTTGGATTCTTGTGTAGATGCAACTTCATATTTGCAAGCACAGCTAACGGTTTTCTTGAGTTTGAAATTTGGGTTGAATATTTACCTTTGATTATTAACAAATAGATCTTGAAGGTATAGTCAACAAGGTTAATCTTTAGAGATGCCGTGCAACTATATTTTTTGCATCTACTACCAATAATGTTATGTTTGTCAAACCCCTCTGTTCCAACTTGTTTTGCTGATATGACATCACTCTTATGAGCGGAGTTCCTTTATTTCAATTAAATTGTGTCCCCCCAAATCACATAAGTCTTGATCATCTTAGTATATTAGTAGCTTGATTCAAGTCAAGCCTGGTTTTAGTATATTTGGATCGCATCTTTTACTATTTCAATAATCCCCCAAATATACACTCAACTCACTCACACTAGTAGTTTGTGCATACTTCTGTAGCTAATTAACAAATATTCAACACTTGCACTTGAAGTTAATAATCCAATAAAATATAGGATGCTTCTGTAATATTTTTCAGAGATATGGTTTTACTGACTGTTTTTAATGCAGAATGCACAACATCTTCATGAGAATACAGCACTGTGCAAAGTGTTCGCGGGGGATGTTACTTACATAGCGAGGTCAATGTGTCCCCCCAAATCACATAAGTCTTGATCATCTTAGTATATTAGTAGCTTGATTCAAGTCAAGCCTGGTTTTAGTATATTTGGGTCGCATCTTTTACTATTTCAATAATCCCCCAAATATACACTCAACTCACTCACACTAGTAGTTTGTGCATACTTCTGTAGCTAATTAACAAATATTCAACACTTGCACTTGAAGTTGATAATCCAATAAAATATAGGATGCTTCTGTAATATTTTTCAGAGATATGGTTTTACTGACTGTTCTTAATGCAGAATGCACAACATCTTCATGAGAATACAGCACTGTGCAAAGTGTTCGCGGGGGATGTTACTTACATAGCGAGGTCAAGATTTACCTCTTGTTGTCTTTTTGAACGAGGGTTTTATTTCTTGCAACTTAATGTTTCATTGGCTTTTGCAGATGCTGTGTAAAAGGCTCTCTACTGGAAGTCAATGAAAGGTTAATCAAGCACCCACAATTGCTTAATTCATCGGTAGGAATACCAGTCATCTTTGATTTTCTAGCTTCAATCCTCTGAGTATATTTTCAATTGTTATTTTATCTATAATTTTTTCTTCCCCATGTTCACGCAAGCTTCAAGGAAAGAAAATTTTAATCAAAATATGGGGTATCAGTTGCATTATATTTTGATATTTAACTGGTAACATTTCCATTGTCACACAATCAATTAATTGATGTTGTCTCTGTTAATGCTTCAGAATGGATATATGGCAGTTGGTTCTGCTCTATAGAATGTCTCTGCTCACATCAGGAATAAATGAAATGAAATGCCATCTGGCACGTGTTCAATAAATAAAAATAAGTAAACAATTAGACATGTAATGAATATATGATGTGGCAATATGTGAACATATTCTTACTAATAAACATTGTCGAAGTAGATGCATAGCCTTATAAATTGTTGTATTGCATTTATTCATAGCCAATACACAAACCAAATTTAAGATCTGCTGACATTTTTTGTTTCCTTTTCCATTGGCTTGTTTTTGTTTTGGGGGGGGGGGGGGGGGCCATACTTGTTTGATTATTGGTTTAGCGATCTGGGTCTTCGAGTTGATATAGAGTTTTAAAATGTTATGTTTAGTAAAAAACTATGAAGCATAAAATGGCAAGTTATGAAAATCAGCACATATTGGTGGTGCTGTTCTATCTCGAAAGCGTTGTTGCAAAAAGAAGTAAGGACCCACAATCCTACAAATGATGCCTCCTAGAAATGGCAATGTCAGAATGATTTACTTGTTTCCAAGTCATTGGAAAAAAATTTCTTTAAAAGAACTAGTAAACCTATGAGACATCATATTTCAAAAGTAAAAGACGTTCAAGTTTAATATTTTTTTCCAATAACTAAGACTGCAATTTTTTGTATTAATTTGAATGCATTTGTGACCTATTTTAGATCCTAAATAAATGCAATTTTGTGGCAACTCTAATTAATAAACTAGTAGTTCTAGTTAGAAAGTTGAAGATTTTTTCAGTCAATTCTCATTATTATGAATAATGATAAGTATTTACCAGCAAAAAACTAGTTCTTATTGTACATTCTCTCTTGGTTGTTCTGTCTAATTCTGTGTAGGCAAATAGAGAAGGCTACATTGCAATTATCATGCCAAAGCCTGCAGATTGGCTCAAAGCCAAGGCTTCTATGCTCAGCTTTGAAGAATATCAAAAGTTGAGAGACTCATGCCAAAGCCTGCAGATTGGCTCAAAGCCAAGGCTTCTATGCTCAGCTTTGAAGAATATCAAAAGTTGAGAGACTTGCTGATTATTTAGGAAAGACTGGCTTCTGATTTTGCAAAAGCATACGTTATATACTTCAAATGGTCTGCAGTTTTAGAGATATTTAAACAATTTTGATGGTAGACAATGGGAATAAACTTTTGAAAGCTTGGGAGCTAGCATTGAAAAAATAGTTCCCACCGTATCATTATTGTAAGATTTGAATCCATAAACTGCTCAGAATTGGAAGTCATTTCTAGATGTGATTTTTGCTTTTATGCTGTAATTATGTTTTATAGCATTAGCCACTTGTGCCTGATTTGTTCTGCCATTGATACCGTAAAAGAAAACATGATATGTGCGATGATATGTACTATTGGATAGGATTAAACAGCGTCATTAAATTGGCTATATATATATATGCCCCTGTTTGGTCTCATTAATTTTGATTATAATGGGGATTATATTGGGGGAATTTTTTATTTTATTTTATTTTATTTTTAAAATTGGATGGTTGTAAAAGAATGAAATTTTTTTTCGATTAACGTGTATTATTATTTTATTGAAGATTGTCTGGCTGAAAATATGAGAGAAAATTTAATTTAATTTGATGAGATTTAATGGGGGTATACAAATAGACCTTTTGTCGAACAAGATAATTGGCACAAGCAAGATAGGATTGGATCATCAAAAAATCATCAAAATTAGAGTGTTGAAATTTTATTTTTTTGCGGGGGAAGGGAGGGGGGGATGGATTTACAATTTAATGAGATTCTGATAGAAGGGTTCATTTTATTTAAATTAAATAACTAAATTTTTATCTTTTGCTGAAGAAATTTTGATAGCTATGGATCACCAAAAACACTAAAATCATAATACAAAAATGCATTGTGGAAAAATCGATAGTGTATATATATATACACGCCACAAGTTAATTCATGATCGATAATTGTCTAGCTAGTTCTTAGGGCTGGGCAAATCTCCCGAACCGAACCCGAACCGAATCGAACCGAACCCAACGGTTCTTGGCGAATTAAATACCCGAACGGGTATCTGAATTGAGAACCGACGGGTACGGTTCGGTTCTCGGTTCTATACCAAGAACCGAAGAACCGAATGAGAACCGAATCTTTCTAACTTTTTTTTTTATTGAAGAAATAAAATGTTTTTTATTTTAATTTTTTTTCAAACAAATTAACAAATTAACAATTTCTAAAAAATAATTTTGGCCCAATAATTATTTCATTTCTAATTTTTTAACCTTTGGCCCAATCCATTTTATTGTTTAATTTCTAATTTTTCTAACTTTTGGCCCAACAATCAACTACCCAAGTCCAACTAAATAACTAATAAGTAAAATAACCTACTCTTCAATCTTGAATCCCACTCCCACCTTCTCTAACTCTCTGTGCCGGCCGTTCCCTTCAGCTCTAGCATCAAGAGATTGGTTTTCTTTGACAAGAGATTGTACCCACGACAGATCGGGCTCCTCTTCCTCGTTATTGGGTTCAACGGGGGTTGATTGCTTCAATTGAGATTATGCAATTGCTTTATTGCGATTTTATACCTCAATTTCAATGAAGCTATATGAGTTTCTACTGCTCGGGTTATCTAGTACGTGGTTAGTGCAAAAAGAGGTTTTGTCTAGGGAGCACATTATAATTTGAGGATCTCTAAAAATTCTAAAATACTTATGTTGGTTTGCATTTTTATACCTCTGTACAAACATAGAATTTCAATGTTCCTAGATTATTAGGTCCGAAGCCAATGTTGAATTGAGTTTTACATCAATCGTATTTCTATATCCATACGAAATGCAAAGTGAATCTTGCTCGGTCTATTGCTGGTCTTGGAATTGATGTTCCCAATTTATACTTTTCTATTATGTCTATAAGCTTAGGGGTCAAAGAGTTCCTTTTATATCTTTGATGTCTAACTATTAGGAATTGTTTTCTTTGATTTCAGAGGTGTCCCAATTTGCTATTTTATATGTCTATATGCTTAGGGTCAAAAAGTTTCTATCGTATCTGTGATATCTGACTTTTAGGAACTAGTTTTCTTTGATTTCTTGCTGTCCCGAATTACAGTTTTTATACGTTTAAACGTTTAGTGTCGATGAGTTTCTATTGCATATATGAGGTCTTGATTTTTAGGAGATGGTTTTCTTTGATTTCAGGCTGTCATTAAGAAGAAATATGGTCAAGATGCCACCAATGTATGGGATGAGGGTGGATTTTCTCCTAACATTCAGGTTAATCAGTGTGTTATGTTTGAATAAACCTTTTTACTTGAGGTTCATATATAAAAAAGTAGTGCAATTCAAATATCTAAGCTATTTAATCCATAAGTTTCTATCTAGTTATGATTGTTTTGTTGTGCAGGATTTTGTAATTTGTGTTCCACATTGTTTGTGCAGGATTTAATCAAGTTTCTTCTTAAGGTGACCAATTCTGGATGCCTAAATGGGAGACAAAAAGCAGCCTAATGAGAGGTCAGAAATATGGAATCATTTCACTAAGATACTTGGGGGAGAAAGAGCAAAATGTAATTACTGTGGGAAAACATTTAAGGCTGACACTAATAGTGGAACTTCTAGCATGTGGAAGCATTTAAAAATTTGTTATGCATATAAGAACACTAAAATTGATGAAAACCAACCACTTGTTATTTACATGTTATTAAATTTGACTATGTTAATTTGTAAAACTATGATTGAATGTGTCATTAGTTGTATTTATATGGTGTTTTTATAAATATTAAAAAATTTAATTATAGTATGGAACCGAATGGAACCGAACCGAACCGAACCCGAACGGTTCCATAATTATATTTGGACCCGACGGTTCCATTTATTAGATACCCGAAAATTTCGGTTCGGTTCGGTTCTCTTGAGAACCGAACCGAACCGACCCGCGCCCACCCCTACTAGTTCTCAAGTGAGAATGCCAACACAATCAATATAATAACATTGAATTTTGTTTTCCATAACAGTCTATATCAGTTCAAGAAGATCTTGAAAACACAATCATGATCATAAAATTATAATGTATGCATAATTACTCGTAGAATTCTTATGAAGATTTAGAGATGGAAATTTTGATTATAATACACGAATCAAATTCATATGTACAATATTTCTATTTTGTTGAGAAACATATTTATTGCTTTCATCAACATTTTGGAATTAAACTGAAAGAGAGATACAACAACCAAAAAAATAAAATTAAAAATAATAATAATTTCGAAATCTCTAATGAAGTTACCATTTCACTTAATTGATCATTTCTTCAAAAAGTAGCCTTCTTGATCTGTTCATGTCAAGAAAACACAGATATATTTGCTTCTCAAGTTCTTCTAATTGCTCCAAAAAGGAAGATCCATGGATCTGAAATTCTCTTAAAACTTCCTTCAGAATCTCATTCTTTCCTTTCCTAACACAAATATCTGCTAAAAATTTCTCGTGCTCCAATTCATCATGAAGTCTCTGCACCAACCTGCTTATTGTATCAAAGTCATTGATCAATATATAAACCCCTCTTGCTGCAATATCGAGCTGCATTCCTAGCCTTTCATTTGGGGTTTTCTTCGACTTCTTTTTGGCTACTTTTAATTTCTTCAAATATAAGCTTAAAGAACCAAGAACAAACAACACTGCGGGTGCAGCCACTATCCCTATCATGCTGTGAATTGCAAGAATCAGTAAAGGAATGACTAATACGCCCCATGCCCCAACCAAAACGTATCTCATGATCTTGTTTATGCACTTTCTCACTTTTGTTCTCCTCTTTGCTTTTCCACATTTCGATATCAATCTATGAAGAAAAAGAGAGTGGTTCTCGTGTATTTCGTGGAATTGTAATGGGGTTATTGTTGATAAGGGGTTCTTAAGCATGACAAGTGAAGCAAGATTTCTATAAACAGCAAGGCATTTATCGTCTGTACTCCGACTTGCACCATCAGGTACTTGCTTCATTTGCTTTATCGTGGTTTTTATTACCCGATAATTAGCGCTTACTTTGTGGACGTTTTTGAGGAGCAATTCACATAATCTGCTGGCTTCTAAACTAATCTCAAAGTAATTGACTAGAAGTTGATGAAGCTCCGAGTTTTCAATCATGTAGGCTAGGGTTTCTTGACGAGGTTCGTGTAGAAACTCTGAGAGATAGACATTCTTTGAGGACGAGGACGAGGACGTTCCATTATCAGTACTTTTTCTTTCCAGTTGGCCCTGAACTTTCTCGCAAATTTCTATGAAAGAATTTGTCCTAAAAGCTTCTTTATATTCTTCATCGACGTTTGACTTGGTCACCAAGCTATTCACATTTTCTTTTCCACGTTTACCTGATCAAACCAGTTAACCGAAATCACGATATTAATCTCTTAAAAATCATGAACGTAGATCATCCATTTCTTGATTGTGAATCTGTCTCTTATGCTCGATCCTGTCATGGGATGTTCCAACCTTTCTCGGGTTCAGTGTTTCCTCCATATTTATGTACTTCTCGGCTCGATTAAGAAGCTCGATAACTGTCTTTGGTGGAGTTTTGGATAAGGACATCTTGAAAGCCTCGCACTTTATGGCATATGTGAGGGCAGAAACTGCTGCAGTTATGTGTAGATCAGGAATCTGAAGTCTCTCCTTGTTGAACCTGGTCATGAAGTCACGTAGGGGCTCATTCTGCCCTTGTCTAAGTTGCATGAGGGAAGCCGCTGTTTTCCTGATGCGTTTGCTGCTTGCGAAGAAAGCGGAGAACTTGTCCGCCAAATTCGAGAATGAGGCTATGGAGTTGGACTCTAAGGTTGAGAACCAATCCCTAGCAGCATTCGTCAAAGTTTGCGGGAAGGCCTTGCACATCACCTGATCCGGTGCGACCTGTAAATTCATGACGTCCGTGTATACGTTCAGATGATTGATTGGATCAGTGGTCCCATCATATTCTTTGATCCTAGGATACTTAAATCTGTCTGGCAAGGGGAATGTTAATATCTCGGGAGTAAAGGGAGTGTTGGGACTGAATCTTGTTGTCCCTTAGTTGCCCTGGAGTAGGCCCGCCGTAATTCCTTCTTGAATAATCCTAGCAAGTTCCCCAAACTCCATGGTCACTGATCTCGAGGCCGAGGTCACATGTGGTATACCCGAGGCCCCTGCTTCGCCATTGTCAGGGGCATGTGTTTGAGCTCGAGCATCAGCCATAAAACCCCCCTGGGGTGCTGGTGTAGGTGACGAATGCGAATTTCTTTGACTTAGCAGTTGAGTCAGTGTGGCGACCTGTTGTCTGAGCTCTTCAAAGGCTCCAGCAGTGACGACTGTCGGCTGGGGCTCTGGCACTTCTGTTGATTCCTCTTGAGGAACAGGGATATCCTCAGGAGGGGGTTGGTTTGGAGTGGATGAACTTGCTGGTGGAAGACCTGAACGTGTGTTTACCATGGCTTTTGGTAGCGTTTCCCACAGACGGCGCCAATAATGCTACCAAAAATCGTACTTGTAGATTTCCCGAGCTTGATGACGGATGAGGAGCACGAACGTGATCTTCCGATACTTGAAACAAAGGCAACGAGGTGTGTTCTCGTCATCCCTCCGATGCTTAAGTCAGAAAGGGAAATATATGAATAAGACTATGTGCTGAAGAACAATGAAAAACGTACCTGAATAATGGTTCAAGGTTCTGTATTTATAGTAGTAAGTGACATTCTCCTAATTAGACTCAACTAGCTGGATGTCCTCATCTGTTGGAGTCCTGAATAGTTAAAGAGTTGGTTGAATTCCAGAATTATACGTGAGATAGGATTCTTGTGGGAGTTAAGATTCCTAATTGCATAGGAATTCTAAAGGGTTAACAATCATCAGTAGTGAGGGGAGGACGTGCACGAGGACTATACCCGAGGACAAATGTTTGCAATATGCGAAGCATTATGAGATGTGGTCGGGCATACTGTCTCGAGGATGGTCATGCCCGAGGACACCGCAGATGGATTTATACTTTTATCAAAAAACAGTCGTCGGGAATGTTGTGATCGGGGATATTGGAAAATGTCCCCATCACTAGGGAAAGAAGACATAATATTCCATTTTATGGGTCATTGCTTATGACATCACCATATCACATTGCTCCGTTACATATTCCCTCTTTGTAGAAAACTCTTCTTTCTTACCTCCTATGGGAGTTAATACTAGTGTGTCTGGTCATCCTTTTCTAGACCATGTAACAAAATCGTGATCAGCTAAATTTCCAAATCTCATTAATTTTCACCCGGAAAAGATTATCGTAGCCAAATTCATCAAGAGTTTAAATTTCTTTACTAAAGATACCTTGGGTTCAGTGGCGGATCTAGGTGGTGGCCAGCTAGGGCAGCCGCCCTAGCTGGATCTGCTGGGAGAAATTTTTTTTTATTAATAATAGGTTAAAATTTTACCTTATATTTTTGGTAGTACATTTTATTTTCGAACATCAATTGTAGTTGAGTTGGTGAGAGCCGGTTGAAACATGCTTGAGGTCTCGGGTTCAAGTCCTCTATGAATGGATTTGTTATGTTTTATTTTGTTTCTATAGTTTTTAGAAAAATTCAATAGTGAAAGGAACAATGAGGATTTGAACCGAGGATCAAAGGATTGTTGCAAACTCAACCATTATGATACCCCTTAAATTGGGTCATTATATTTAACAAAATAATATTTGTTATGTCTTGACTATTTTAATGCAAACAATTTTAAAGATTTGAATTCGCACTTTTCCTTTGTATTATACAAAACTTGGCAATAATGTCATTTGATGAATTCTGTTGATTCTTATAACATTATTATATATATTCAATTTGAATAAAATAATTGTTATATTTATACTTTATACCTTATTTGATTCCCATTTTTTTTTAAAATACATTTTTTCTTTATTCTTTTCATCCATACGTTCTTAAATAAAATAATATTACACATAAATTCAAAAAAAACTTTTCTTTATTTTTAGTCACACATTCTCCATCAAATCACTAATCCAAAATGCATTTTTTGCAAAAATAAAAATGGGTATCAAAACAATTCTTAATATTTTATTGCGGCCAATGGTAAATGATCAACGACCGCTCGTGCTGACTCAAACTCCTAGATTCGCCCCTGCTTGGATTCCCTGAATTTGATTTCAAATTGAACTGGTTATGGAAGTAATAAATCACCAAAAATATCAAGAATGTACTATATTTTATTTGCATTAAAGGTCCCTAACTTTCATTCATTATTGCATTTATGTTCCTAGCCTTGTCATCTCATTCTTATATTCGACGTTCCATTAATTAGAACATCATGTCGTTAATAATAATAATTTATGTCCAAATATTTTCTTAACGTGCTTTCAAATAATGGACAAATATTAGGTCACAAAATTGTATTTGTTAATTTTGTCCACTTATTTAAAAGGATGATGGCAAATAATCTTTTTACTCTCTTAACGATTATTATTATTATTATTATTATTTTTTTTTTTTTTTTTTTTTTTATGGAAGCCATCTTCAGGAATAGAAAGTACTAAATAATGGAAGGCCGAGGATAAAAATGCTATGAAAAATTAGAGATATAAATGTGACAATGAGTAAAGATTAATAGACCTTTTATGCAACTAAAATTACTTGCTAAAAAAATGTATTATTCTTATGAATATATATTGCCTAAAATAAAATCATAAGAGCATATTAGGAATTGCTATAAAATAGGTAGGTGGAAAATGGCAAGTTTTAAGATAGAATGGACCATGAGAGCCCTAAAATCTCCTCGTGTCTAGTCATTAGTGATGGGATTAGATAGCTATTAGCTAACCCTATATTGATGAAAATTAAAAACTTGGGTAATGGAGCACTAAATGGGTTCCCCAGCCTAACTACTCGATTGAATGTGATTAGACATATATAAAATCCTTTTATCAATACATCATATCTAATATTGAGTACTTTTTAGCTGTCGAATTTTTTGTTAGACGAGGGCAACCAAGATAGGTGGAGTTTGATGACGCATGAGAGGTGCAAGATAGGTTGTACTAATAATTCACAAATCACAGATCTATTTGCAAAGCTCGGGTCATGACATAATATGATTTGCCTTTTGAGTAGAAGTGTGTCGTGCATAGCTCCGACAACGATGTGTTGAGTCTGATAACCAATTAACATTTGGAAAACGGTACATTGGAAATGAAGTCTAAAATTAACTGAGAATTTAATGCAAAAAGATTTTTTTTTTAAAAGAAAAAACAATTGAAATGTATTAAAAATCCGGATAAATTTCATCCATGGTCATTGAATTTTAGCCTACTTGCAATTAGGCCACAACTTTTATTTCGGAGTAATCATACCAGTATTATTTTCAACAAGTAAATTTCACCTGCCATTATTCTTACTTGCAATCAAGTAAATAAACTTCAATTCATAGCAACTGAGGAGGTATATACTGGTTGTTCATGGATTACATTATCAATAAGTATTAGCATTTGCCGGCATGTAAAATGTAGAATATGTTGAACCTGAGACTTATTTATTTCTTCAAGAAAATATCTAATTATTGTCAAGAACATGCACTAATATCACTCGCTAAATATGACAAATGAGGATCGTTTCGATTCAAAATTGCACAGACATTGTTCAGTTTATACATAGTACCAGATTACGGGGAGAAGAAAATAAACATAAGTTTTACATAAATTGCATCCAAGAAGAAATGACAAGAATGGCAAAAAAAAAAAAAAAAAAAAAAAAAAAACACTACAATTATACATCAAAATGGCATTTAATAATTCAATAAACGATCGTCATCCTTGCTAGAAACTTCACTCTCATAGTTTTTGTATTGTATAGAATCTTATAAAATAACCATTAAAAGGTCAATCTCGTTAACGAGAATAGACTAAAGTATAATATATATATTATTTTTCGTATTTGAGCCATATGCGATTATATCCTCTGCACTTTTTACATCTATAAGGAGAAAAACCATCTACTTTCGAATTTAGCATTAATATCTATAAAAGAAATTGATCATGGCATTCTGGTATGAGTTTGGATTGGATGCATCAGTACTACTACTGAGTTCTAAATTCTGAAGAGAATATTAACTATAACTAATAAGGACAAATGTCACATCTTTAAGCATTAGTACTTTGTACTAAATTCTGAATATGTGGTTTTCTTTTGGATTGTGACCATTCATGCTGGAAAAAAGTGCTCAATGGAAAAAAGATACCTTACCTGTTATTATCTAATCATCATCTTAGTTTTGTTATTGTAATCTTCATTTGCCTATGATTTTATGCCATTGGTTTGGGATATTCAATGTATACAATCGTGCTACAGAGCTCGGATTTAAATCCCGGACAATCGTGCTATAGAGCTCGGGTTTAAATCCCGGGCTCCAATCCAGGCCGATGTGGAAACACTTCAACCATTGATCTTCTGCACTTCGGGGTCCGCCATCAAAATCGGGGGCAAAGACTCTGCCACCTCTGCCTCTGGAACGAAAATCCCGGGTTCTTCAACACTTTCCATATTTTAAGTATAAGTTGTGTACGTGTGAACTGTGTGCTCCTAAAATTGGCCTAAAGTTGTGTTTTGTAAAACACGTTTTTATTCATGAGTGCATTGAACTGGGCTGTGACTCTTGGCTTCATCCTGGCCACATGATTTGGTTCTAGTTACTTCTAAGGGTTAAAACCTTTTCGTCTAGCTTCTAGCATTTATTCAGTTCATCTACTTTTTGGCGTTTGAGAGGTTTTTACTTTATTCAAATGAGGTTTCTCTTTGGTCTTGAAAATCTCATTCGAGACTTTATTCTTTTATTTTCATTTTGATTTCTAATATTTCTTAGTGAAAAGTTTGTAAACGATCGAGTTCCTTTCTGTATAGATCATGATCACCCCCGAACCTATCAGTCCCGAACTCGAGCACGTTGCCTCTATCAATCCCTAACTCAAGCACGTAGCCTGAACTTGCCCTCAGCCAAATTCACCAATGTGAGGTCGGGCATATTAGGTCGGGTTATTGTCGTCATGTCTGGTCTTTCTGATGACCTATGAGAACACAAATCCTATCCAACCTACAATCCTTACCCAATTCGACTCTTTCTTCGACTCAAACAATGTTTGAACACTTGGAATGAAACACTAATTCCTTATCCTACGAGGATAAGGACCGCAAAAGGATAAGTCCTTCTAGGACTCTATCGTTAACACCTATAAATACACAACCCGAGCTCATTCTTGAGGTACTTTTTCATTATCTCTAGTTTATAGCCTCACGCACTAAATTCTCTATCTGACTTAAGTATCGGAGGGGCGACGAGCACACACCTCGTTGCCTTTGTTGCAGGTATTCAAAGACCGCTCGTGTTCATCAAAGTTCGAAGTTCGATCATCAAGTTCGAGATCTTTGAGGTAATATTTTTTGGTAGCATCATTGGTGCCGTCAGTGGGAATTGCTACCAAAAGCCATGGTCAATACACGTTCAGGTCTTCCTCAAGGAAGTTCATCCGTCCTGGATAACCCTCCTCCTTCTAAGGAACGCCATATCCCTCAAGAATAATCGTCGGAGATGTCAGCACCTCCTTAAGCTATTGTTTCCGTCAGAGCTTTTGAGGAACTTCGTCAACAGGTGGCTGCATTGACCCAATTGTTAAGCCAGAGAAATTCGCACCCGTCGCATACTCCAACCCCTGAAGGTGGCTTTATGGTAGACGCCCGGGCTCGAGTCTGTCGTATAGCCCATGATGACGGTGGGGTTGGAACTTCAGGCGCACCACAAGTGGCTTTAGGTTCAAGGTCCATTACAATGGACTCCACTGAACTTGCTAGAATTATTCAAGAAGGGATAGCAGCGAGTAAGCAACAAAATACTAGGCAGCAACAGGGTTCACCCCCAATACTCCATTTACTCCAGAAGTCCTCTCACATCCCCTCCCCGATAGGTTCTAGTATCCTCGGATAAAGGAGTACAATGGGACAATCGACCCCATCAATCATCTCAATGTGTACACGGATATCATGAACTTACAGGTTGCACCTGATGCGGTAATGTGCAAGGCATTCTCCCAAACCCTCACAAACGCAGCTAGAGATTGGTTTTCCACATTGGAACCGAACTCTATCGTCTCCTTCTCAGATTTGGCCAATAAGTTCTCCGCTTTCTTTGCGAGCAGCAAGCGAATCAGAAAGACAGCTGCATCACTCATGCAAATGCGTCAAGGACCCAATGAAACACTGCGCAGTTTCATGACCAGGTTCAATAAAGAAAGGCTTCAGATCCCCGATCTACATATTACTGCTGCAGTCTCGGCCCTGACATACGCTATTAAGTGCGAAGCATTCAAGATGTCCTTGTCTAAGACCTCATCGAAGTCAGTCACCAAGCTACTCACACGAGCTGAGAAGTACATCAATATGGAGGAAACCATGGCCCCAAAAAGAGAAGTTTCCTCATCAGGAAGGTTAGATCAAAAAAAGCCGCATGAGTCTAGCTTGAGACAAGATACACCTAGGGTCAAGCCAAGGAAGGACCCACCCTCAACGTCTTTTACCCATTTGAACACTTTAACGTCCAACATCCTGATGGAAATCTAAGACTCGAGGGAACTGAAGTGGCCTCCCAGATTGGAGTCTCCCCCCGATACTCGTGACAAGAATAAGTACTGTGATTTCCATAGAGATCACGGGCATACAACGGAAGACTGTTTGGCCTTAAAGCGGGAAATTGAAGCTCTTATAAAAAGGAGATTTCTGAGCTCTTACATTAGCAATGACAAGCGCCCGAGGAATAATCAAAATGGAGGCAAAGGCCCAGAGGGTCGGGAAAACAAGCAACCAACTACAGGTACTATCAATATTATTGTCGGAGGAACAGCCTCAGGAGGAGATTCTAGCAGCGGGCGTAAACAGTATGCCATGCAGCCTCCAATCATCTCAAGACTAGATTTTGGCCATACAGAGGACATCACTTTTGGAACGGAGGACTTGGAAGGCATAGCATTCTCTTATGATGATGCTCTGGTCATATCGGCCATCATCGCCAACTTTGAAGTCAAGAGAGTTCTGGTAGATAACGAAAAGTGCAGTAAACGTACTATCTCATGAAGCCTTTGTTCAAATGGGGATCTCATCATAGCAGCTCAAGCCAGTCAAAACACCCCTCCAAGGATTTGGAGGTGGGGTCATCACCCCAGAAGGTATTGTCAGGTTGCCCTTAACATTGGGGGCAGAAGGTAAACAGGTGACGTAAATCACTACCTTTGAAGTTGTCCGTACGTCAATGGCTTACAACGCTATACTGGGAAGACCACTGCTCAACAGAATTCGAGCTATTGTCTCAACTTTCTACTTGGCTATGAAATCCCCAACTGCTAAAGGAATCGGTGTAGTCCGAGGCAACCAAACAGTGGCCTGACAGTATTATGTGACTAGCGTTTGAAAAATCAAGAACGACGTCATGCAAGTTACAGAGCTCGAGCTCGAGCACGAAAATCATGGGAGACTGGCTCCGGTGGAAGGATTGGAGAGGTCGAGATCGAGCCTGGAAAGATAGTGACAATTGGTCGGGGGCTAGATACAGCGGTCATGTCTGAACTACTAAGTTGTCTCTCCCGCAACATTGATGTATTCACTTGGAATGTTAAGGACATGCCTGTAATTGATCCAGAGGTTGCAGTACATAGACTTAACGTAAATCCGGAAGCAAGACCCATGAAGCAAAGGAAGAGGCAATTTGCACCAGAAAGACGAGAAGTCATAAAGGAGGAGATTGCTAAACTTGTTAATGCACAGTTCATTCGAGAAGTACAATATCCTGAGTGGCTTACTAACGTAGTTCTTGTCAAAAAGGCTAATGGAAAGTGGCCAGTTTGCATTGACTTCACAGATCTGAATGAAGCATGCTCCAAAGACAGTTATCATCTACCTCGAATTGACAATCTGGTAGACAGCACGTCAGGTCATATGCTGTACAGCTTCTTGGATGCTTTCTCGGGGTATCACCAAATTCTCGTGGCGGAAGAAGATCAAGAGAAGACCTCATTCATGGCAGACTCAGCCATCTATTGCTACAGGGTCATGCCCTTTGGATTGAATAATGCTGGAGTAACATATCAAAGGTTGGTAAACAAGATCTTCGCCAAGTTAATTGGGAAAATGGTCGAATCATATGTGGATGATATGGTGGTTAAGAGCAAACAACTGAATGCTCATGTTTCTGACATAGGGGAAGTGTTTGCTACGTTACGGAGGTACAACATGAAGCTCAACCCTGCAAAGTGTGCGTTTGGGTGGCATCCGAAAAATTCTTGGGTTTTATGATCACGCATAGAGGAATAGAGACAAATCCTGATGAAATCCAAGCTCTGATAAGTATGGAGGCCCCTAAGTGTAAAAGGGACATTCAGAAGTTGACAGGTCACGTAGCAGCACTGAATAGGTTTGTTTCTCAGGCAGCTGACAGCTATTTCCCTTTTTTCAAACTACTTAGGGGAAATAAAGGGTTCGACTGGAATGAGGAATGCAACTTAACTTTTCAGGAGCTCAAGCAGACATTATCAACACCTCCAATCCTTTCAAAACCTGAACCTGGTGACACGCTGCTATTATATTTGGTTGTTTTTGAGAATGCAGTAAGTGGTATCTTGGTAAAGGAAAAAAGGAAGGGTTCAGCAACATGTTTACTATGTAATTAAAGTGCTTCTCGATGCAAAAAACACGATACACACTTGCAGAACAGCTCGCCCTTGCTTTGGTAATAGCTGCCAGAAAATTACGACCGTACTTTTAGTCACATCCAATTGTTGTGCTTACTAACCAACCTCTTAGACACATACTCCAGAAGTCGGACGTCTCAGGAAGACTGCTGAAATGGGCAATTGAACTCAGTGAATTTGACATAGAGTTCAAGCCACGACCTGCAATCAAGGCCCAAGCTTTGGCCGACTTCATAGCAGACCTTACTCTGAGATCCTCAGAAACACTGGCCAAGGTCTCGAGCACGACCTTGGAAACATGGGAGATTTTTGTTGATGGAGCATCCAATAGCTCGGGCTCGGGGGTCGGCATCATCATCACAAGTCCGGACAAGACTATGGAGATACAGTGTGCTCTCAGATTTGAATTCGAGGCTACCAATAACGAAGTAGAGTATGAAGCCATTGTCATAGCCCTGGAACTTGCGAAAAATCTTGAGTGTGAGCATGTCAAAGTTTTTAGTGACTCATAACTAGTTGTCGGGCAAATCGAGGGATCTTTCGAAAGAAAGGACGAAAAGATGAGCTCATACTGTTTAAAAGTACATGACCTCTAGAGATAGTTCGTAAGTTGTTAAATTCTGAAGGTAGCCAGAGCTAAAAATTCCAAAGTTGATGCATTATCCAGACTCGTCTTCATGGGTGTGGATGGGCTCGATAGAACCGTGCACATCAAGATGGTTGCAGAACCCAGCATAGCTCAGAAGCCAAGTGTCATGGTCATCGACCATGAGCCATTCTGGATGGATCGAATAGTTGATTACATTAGTAATGGCAACATACCTGCAGACCCTCAGCTTGCCAGAAGCATTCGGTATAGAGTTGCTAGATATTGTATAATCGAAGGAGTCCTGTTCCGCAGGAGCTTCACACTCCCTTATCTAAGATGTCTCAAACCTTTCGAGTCTCTTCAAGCAATGATTGAAGTTCATAAAGGCATTTTTGGAAATCACCAAGGAGCCCGAGCTCTTGCATATAAGTTGATAAGGTATGGATACTACTGACCAAGTTTGAAGAAAGATGCCACAGATTACATCTGGAAGTGTGACAAGTGCCAAAAGTTTGGCCACATCATACATGCTCTTGCTGAGGAACTAACATCCATTCACTACTAAGCTCCTTTCGAACAGTGGGGAGTTGATATTCTTGGGCCATTTCCCTTGGCTCGAGAACAATTAAAATTTGTAGCTGTAGCAGTAGAGTATTTCACAAAGTGGGTAGAAGCCGAACCACTAGCAACAATTTCAGAGCCAAAGCTCAGGTCATTCATATGGAAGTCCGTCATATACAGGTTTGGGATACCAAAAGTCCTTATCACAGATAACGGAAGGCAATTCGACAATCCTCAGTTCATGAACTTCAACGCCAACAATGGGATTGATCATCGCTTGACCTCGGTATCACACCCGCAAAGTAATGGGCTCGTCGAAGTAACTAATCGGATCATATTGTGGACCTTCGAACAAGGATAGGGGATGCCAAAGGTGACTGGCCTGATGAACTGCTTTCGATACTATGGGTATATAGGACTTTGCACAAGACAGCAACTGGTGAAACGCCCTTCATGCTTGCTTTTGGACTGGATGTTACCATCCCAATCGAGGTTAGCCTCCGCACAATAAGAAAGCTCGAGACATATAGGGAAAGACAAACTAATGAGCACCTTGACTTGCTTGAAGAGGTAAAGGAGCAAGCCTCACTTAGGGCTGCAAGTTATCAGAACAGAACGGCGAAGCATTTCAACAACAAGGTCCAGACGAGGAGGTTCAGAGCTGGCGATCTTGTCCTTAGAAAAGTAGAAGCCGCCGGACACCAACCAAGGAAGCTCGGACCAACATAGGAGGGACCCTTCGAGGTCATAAGAAAACTTAAAGGTGGAGCCTATAGCCTTAGAGACACATCGGGGAAACCACTCCCAAGGCCATGGAATGCCGATAATTTGAAAATATACTACAAGTGACTAGCTATAGCTATAATTTTCCCTTTTATGGCTTGCATGCCCGCTTTATGTTTGCTTAATTTCGTTTTTAATTTTTGGGCTCTAATGCCCTGACAACTCATGCTCGAATAGGCCCGGGTATCAACACCCTTGAGCCCTTTTAATAACGCATGGAATTTTCTTTATGATGTTGATTCCCTATTAAATTAGCATAAGGTCGTGCTCCACGCATGCAGCTAATACCTTTACAAAATTAGCGTAAGGCTGTGCTCTGCGCATACAACTAATACCTTGACAAATTAGCTTTAGGCTGTGCTCCGCGAATGCAGTTAATACCTTAACAAGTTAGCGTAAGGCCGTGCTCCGCGCATGCAGCTAACACTCGACCAATAGGACCAAACACATGACCTCAAATAGCAACAGGTCGGGCATATAAGCCCAACCTCATCGATCCCAAAATGCTCAACCAAGAAAGAATTCTGAGATCGAGATCAGGGGCATGATATAACTGCCCCTCATGTAACCATGCCCGACCTTATCGATCCCAAAATGCTCAAACAAGAAAGAATTCTGAGATCGAGATCGGGGGCATGATATAGCTGCCCCTCATGTAACCATGCCCGACCTTTTTCTCAAAGAAACAATGCTTAAATTACAAGGGATAAGGCTGACCTTTCCTTTAATTCATCAGCGACCAATTGGTCGCCCCTCGATATAAACAAAGGAAAAAATCAGCACCAACACTAGTACGCGAACTAGTTAACATATCAAAACACCCTCGAACTTAGAAGTTAACACCCAATTTTTAAAGTAAAAGGATCGATCTATCCATAGTATCAACGATCAGTATTGTTAAGGTAGGCAAACTTGAGCTAGTTGGTTGCGACACACGATCTACGTTAAAAATCGAACTCTTAACAATTGTAACAGCTCGAATTCAAAATCATGGTGTTTACACACGAACACAAAATCTCATAGCAAAAAATAAAATGCATGAACTTATAACAAAAAGCCCAGTTTGGGCAATATACTTGGCATTAAAAAATCAAAAGAAGCAATAGGCCACATCGGGCAATGTAGAACGCTTCACCAACAAAAAATCAAATCTCGGGGTCGGGGGAACCTAATCTATGTCAACAATCCTGACATCATCCTGATCGCCAGTCCCGGCCTCGTTACCATTCCCACCATCATCATCATTATCATCGTCAATCTCTGAAGCTGAAAGCTCGAGCTCACCTACGAGCTCATTCATTGTTTTCAAATCCTCGACTACGGGCTTCAGATCCTCGGGGAGTTTGGTTCTTAGCTATGATTGAGCGAGCCTTAGCCCGTAGTGGTAGGACCCCGACCCGTACTGGCCAAGCAAGGTCTTGAACTCATCTGATTTTTTAAAGTCTTCGATTGCTTGG